AAGAATAAAATCTACAAGCACAGTGATCAATAGCATCCATTAGCCTGCATCAGGACACTTGAGGGAGTGGCAGAGAGTGCGGTGAACTGGACGCGGCTTGACCCGTCTAAAGCAGGGAGCCTATCCTCAGATCTAGTAGTTCTGTATAGATATGGAAGTGTGGGAATGGGAACATAGTGTTGCCAGCTTGGTTAACTTTTTTTTTTTAAGCTTACAATCTAAATATTCCTCTAAAATCTCCTAATTTTTAATGTTAGATTACTTTTTCTTAAGCTGGAAGGCTAATCAGAACTCCACAGTTTGCAGCCAGAGATCTGGGCATCCATGATGCAGGCTTTCAACTTTGCATGGGGCACCTCTCAGGTGGCTTTCTCCCCAACCAAAGCTTCTCCAGCTCGAGTAACCTAGGCAGGAAGCGGGAAGCATGAGCAAGCTGCCCCTCTGCAGGACCGGAGAGCAACTGTGTGTCACACTGAGAGAGAAGGGACTGCCGTGACTTTCAATGAATTTGCCCCAGGATCTTTTTTTTTTTTTTTTTGGCAATTCTACTAAGTTTACATTTTACTCATATAGTTGGTACATGCAATAATTCCCATAATCTTCAAAATAAAGGATGAGATGCATATACAACTTTTACTAAAACAAAAATTCTCCCCCTGTACCCTTACATAAATGTCCAAAGGGGAATGTTTTCTTTTAATATATACTTTTATTGTAGATAGTATTACAGATATCCCCTATTCCCCTCCCCAATAACCCCCCTCCTCCCGACCCCTGTACCCCCCCAACCCCCCAGCCCAGGTCTTCACCATCCTATTGCCTGTGTCCATGGCCTATGCTTTTAAGTATATAAGTTCTTTGGCTTACCTCTTCTCGCCCCAGGATCTTAAAGGAGAAGCTGCTTTTCTCCAGGGTGTCCCTTCTCCGTACAAAATGCCTTTCCATCCCCTTTCTCCTTACATGTTGCACTATTTTTTCCCCTGACAGTCCTTTGTGACCCTTTTGTAGATTCTTGATTTTCTTATTTAAGTTACAACCAGAGGTTGGACATTTTTGGGTGGAGATCAAATATCTCGTTATCATTATCCCCTGGGAGAGACAGTTTTACAATCCTGAGTGTGTGAGGGGACTAGGAGATAAAGCACGACCTTCGCTCCACAAGCCAAAAGCTAAAATACTTTATTTTTATTTCTTTCTAAAGTGAAACATTTCATTTCTAGACAGCCTTGGCAAGAGCTTAGAGTATTTTTATGCTGGCTCCATGCTGGCAAGTAGAGAAATGCCCTTGATACTGTGTTTGTCCTGATGGTAGTGATGCTGGCCAATTCTGGCGAAGGGAGTAGGTAAAGTCATTATTATTCAATATTGTAAATAAACAATATTCTAGTAAAGCTAATATGAGAAAAGTAAAGACTAATACAAAAGTTATCACAAGACCAAGATCTATGAATTAAACCTTTTTTTCCACCGAAAGCTGCAGTTCACAAATGTTTAACCTGTGCAAACATCACCGGAGAGCTTGTTAAAACACCAACTTCTGGCCCTACCCCAGAGTTTCAGATTTGGGAGGTGGGAGGGGCCAGAATTGGCCTTCAAATAAGTTCCCAGGTGATGTTGATGCTGATCCAGGACCCCACTAGGAGAACCACTGGCCCAAAGGAATCTTCACAAGCATGGAATGATTCTAAGCAATGAACACTTCTATGAATTAGGTTTAATTAGAATTCATTTGAATTTGTTTTTTTTATCAAGAATCTGTAGAAATATTCTTTTAACACTGCGTGCATTCTTGGGAATGAAAGCGATGTCTCCATCTAGACACCAAATAAAGGTTCTTCAGGGTCCTGCTCTCACGAGACTGCCAGGAAATACGATGTATTTCATTTTAACTTTATGAAAATGAATGCACAAATTTGTCCCCAAGAACAATGATTAGTCCTCTATCATTCGATGCTGATCAAACAGTCCACTAATTAAATAGATCCACACAAAATGTTTTAAGATTTTGAGCTAAGTAAGGTCAAAAGGAATGATTCTCACAACCTTTAAGAAAACAAAGAGAGCCAGCCAGAGTGGCCCAGTTGGTTGAGCAAAAGTCCACTGAGGTCACCAGTTCGATTTCGGGTCAGGAGACACGGCTGGGTTGCAGGCTCGCTCTCCAGTAGGGGGCATGCAGGAGGCAGCCGATGTTTCTCTCAATGCTGTTTCTATTTCTCTCTCCTTCTCCATTCCTCTCTCTGAAATCAATAAAACATTTTTTTTAAAAAAAAGAAAATAAACAGAATAGGAACCTGGAAATGCCTATTGAACTATCAACACCCATCAGTGAGCACCTGAAGGGGAAGCAAAGAAGCCGCATTTGCATCATTTTTGTGCTGGATCAGTTATTGTTCGGCAGAAAAAAATCACCCGACTCTTTCCGAGGTGATTTTAGATTCTGAACTTGCTTCCCTATAGGCTTTTTCATAAACAAATAACTAGAAAGGTCTCTAAGGAGGGGAGAGACCAGTTCCTCATTTCAACGTGTATCAAGTTTGTTGCCCACACTCGGCTGAGAAGGGTCCATTGTTACAGGTGTGGAACCTGCTCTTCCCAGCCCTCGCCTGGCAGCTGGCTTTGTGGTTCTGCTGACTCCCTTGTCAGGACTCACCTGGACAATGTCGCCTTCAGAGACAGACCACTCACAGGTATTGGGGGCAACCTTCACTCTGTCTGGGTTTCTCTCTTGCACTTTCATTTGTTCACAGCCTGTTGCTACCAGCTTCTCTTGGTCCTGTCTTGCTGGCTTCTCAGGCCTAAAAGAACAGGTGAGTCATTAATCTGCATGCTTTAATTTCCCGTTCACTAGATTGCCTCCCCACAGTGTGGGTGGTGTTTTCTGGGTTCTTAAGGCTTGGCAGGTAAAAGGCTGGTGAATTTTCTTTATAATATTATTTACTGATTTAGTTCTTTAGAGGATAGAAAGGAGAAGCATGAAGCTGAATTTTTCTGGTAACTTTTGACTCCTTATCATATTCATGGAAGTCATCATTTAGGGAGAGCCTCCCAGGACCCTCAGTCATGATCTCTGAACCTCTGCAACAAGCCAGTGAGGGAGGTACTTTGATGCCTCTTCATAAAAGGGCCCAGAGGCTAACAAAGTGGGTGTGGCCTGTCCTGGGTCCCAGGCTAGCTGGTAGTGAGGTGAGGTGGGAGAGCCAGCAGATGGTGAGGAGCCTGGGGGCTCTTCTCTCTGCAAACTGCTTCCCAAAGCCCTGTTATTTAAAGATTCTCTGGTTTTGCAATGAGTTGTGTCAGCAGTTACTAGTGCCTTGGTTCCAGTATTTGAGACACTGGCCACTAAACAATACTTTATGATCCTTAAATTCTAAAGGAAAAAATAGCCTCCTACTGCCCACCATACCCTTGTGTCGGGACACTGGGAAGGAAAGCTGAAGCAGAGCCCTAACCCCTCAAAGGCCGGAGGGGAACCCCAGGGACTAAGAATTCTGATGGAGCTATTCTGCAAGTGCCTTTGTGAATGTGAATTCCTGTGAGGGTGCGGCTGCCTAGGATGTGGCCAGTGCTATAAAGAGGAACATTTAAAAATCCCCTGGGTGTGTACAGGTGTGAAAGTACCTGTAACTCCAGGCTCAGCCATCTGTTTGTTGGGAGGGTGAGAAACTGGCCTCTCCAGTTAGGGCCTGGAAAGAGACCTAATGTATCTGTTTTTATTAGTGGTCAAGATGGGCTTTTTCATTCTTCTCCAGCGAAGCCGGGATTAGCTTTTAAAGCAGCAGCCAAGGTTATCAATCTGAAAGCAAAACCAGTTGACGAAAATGTGAGTTTCCTAACTAGTATTCCCCTCTCCCAGGTGTCCCAGATAAGGGACCTCGTGCGTTTTTATTCTACATGGAAAGTTCTGTACACTGAGTCCGTTCAAAATATTAAAGCACAACCAGCATTAAGAATTGCGGATTTCTTTTGCAGATAAGAGCTGAATTGACTTTAGTTGGTATCTAGGTAGTTCCTCAAACAACTCTCAACCTAAAATTCATTTGGCCCTAACCCAGATGAGAACCAGGGAGTAAGTATAAGGAAGCACAAAGTCTGCAGGGTCAATGTCATGATAACGCATAACACTGGGTTCCTCCTTTTTGCTGATAAGAGTAAATCTAAGTAAGAGCCTATTAATTCTCTCAACACAGCTTTTTTTTTTTTAACTTCTGTGCTTAGAACCGATTAGAAGAAACAAATGAAAGGGGAGAGCAGCTGCCATAGTCAAGCACACAAAATATAATGAGAAGCAATGAATAAAAATTAGGGAATATGTCAGGGTGAGGTCATTTTGTTTGGAGTAAGTACTCATATGCTATAAAAACCTGTGACAGGTATTGCATGCCTCATAGAACTACATTAAATGCGGATTATAATCATTGTATTTCAGATAGCACTGTGAGGGATAAGGTTGAGGAGGTAAATAATATACCATAGAAAAAGTTCTACTAAAAAATGTTGTTGGTGCAATTAAAAAATGTTTAGCACTAAAAAGGGAAATTATTAGTTCTCCTTAAAATTTGGCTTTCCAAATGTTTCATTCTTAAAGGGCTCCAGCTTGCCGAGTTTCACTGTGAATTATAAACTTGCTAAAATTTTACTGTTGAAGAGCTCAGAATATGTGGTCAATACTGATGGTATCTGGCTTCCAAGCTATCTGGCTTCCAAGAAGTCTCTTAGCTCACTAAAGTTTTTTAAGGTTTTTTTATTTGTTTGTTTGTTTGAACCTGGAAGGGATATCAAGTAAATAGCAAACCAATTTTTACACGCAGGCTATTCAGATGAGACAACTGGACTCACGCACGTTAATTATCTCCCAACCGTAAAGGCTGATCATGTAAACTGGGCTATCCCTGTCTCCTATGATGAATTAGAATTTTCATGCGAAATGACAGACACCTTTTTTCTTACCCGAGTGTCTGTCATTCGCGATAGATTCCGCACTCCGCTCTTCGTCACTAAAGATGCAGCAACCTGCCTGTGATTATCTTCTGGAAAAGGACAAAGACATCCTAGAGGGAGAGTGGCACTTGGATGCGGAAACTGAACAACCCCCATGTGGTCCAGACAAGAGCAGCTCTGGTAGTGTCCCCTGGCAGCTTCCAGCCACATGGCCTCTTAGCTGTATGGGGAAGACCGAGCAGTCGCACCCAGAGCAGCCCCAAAGCCTAGAGGCCTGTCCTCTGCACCCCCAGGGAGGCCTGTCGAGGAAGCCCTGTGAGAAGCAGGGGAGCCTTCTCCACTTCGACCGGCAGGCCCCAGGCCGCATTTCCACCTCGCCCACCTTGAGGAGATTAAGGGGCAATGGCTGTGGGACGAGGCACTCCCTGCCTCAGCAGGAGACCGTGGAAGAGCCCACCTGGGGCGGCCGGAAGGAGCCTGCAGGCTCCCCATACTACCTTTCCCAGAGTCTACCTGCAAGCCCCCAAAATTCTTCCCACTCTTTATCAACCTTGAGACTTGGCTCAAGATTGCCTCCGGACCCCAAAAGGATCCTCACCACAACTGACTCGTCTGAGCCCCCAACAAGGCCCACAGATGAGGCTGCCTTTCCAGTGCTTCGGCCTGTCCACGAGGGGTCCCTTCCCGACACCCCTCTTCCAGGGAGAGGAAGCCGCTCGCCCAGCCCGGCTGCACAGCTCCCAGGGCCTCAGGTAACAGCTCTAAGACCCCTGCCTCTCAGCCCCTGGACCGCAGAGCAACATAGGCCTTTCCACATTTCCCCAAAGGCCGGCGCCCTGGGGTGGGAGACGGCACAGGAGTTACCCCTGAGGGGACACACACTCTTTTGGATGAGCTGCCTCTCAAGTAAAAGGGGTGCAGCAGTTTGGGGAAGAAGGAGATGGAAGCCTAGCTCACTTTCATTTTCTATATCCTGAGGGTGCTTTAAGAAAGGGCTCTCCGAGGTCAGGCTAGGACAGATGTCTGTCCGGCATCAGCTGGTAAAGGTGGCCTTCTTGCAGGTACACATAATTCAAAGACAACATTGTATGACCAGTTTCAAAGGAAAGAAAGAACAGATTATTCAAATTTCTAATCTTCTCTCCCTCCCTCCAAAAACAAAAAGAGAGAGGGAAATCTAAAACATGTTAGCTAGAAAAGTTAACTGTCTGTCCTTTCAAGGTGTCTGCTTTGGAATTTTGGGTGGATTTAAGCTAAACTACAATGTATATTTTTACCTTCTATTTCAGGGAGAAGAATTGCATCAGTCCAGGTGTGTATGTATTTATTTTCTCTGGCACTGTGAAACCTGTTGACTGTTCACTTTGCATCTACTTTTCTGTTCTGACAAAGCAAAGCCGATGGCTTATTAATCAGGGCACTTTGTTTTATACGGTAGCTCCCATGTCACTCTTCACACTTACAAATAAAGAATCTTAATTTTAAGAGGCTCCTTTAGAGCACAGGATTTTGCTGTGGCTTTTGGGGGCAGGGTATGACAGCCACATGTGGTCATGGTTTTCATTTTGAATTGTCAATGAATTGGCCCCGTGGCTTAATTAGCATACACTTAATAATAGGTTTTGTCAGGTAGAGAAAGTGGGAAGGACATGAAACATTCAACAGCTTTTCAAAGAGAAATTCAGAGGACAAAGATAAAAGAACAAGATGTGCTGTTCAAATCTAGGACAGCCTTTAAATGTCTGTGACAACTGTGCCTTTATCAAGAACGCAGGTGGATTGCATCACCACGGAAACCAGCTCTGAACTTGCAGCGTGGCCCTCAGGTTGTGGCGGTGGATTTGCCATCCCTCCCAGGGAGGAAGAGCTTCTCTGGTTGCAAGGGAAAGGTCCATGCCTAATTTCATCCACCCAATTTGTGGGGTTGGGGGAAAAGCCCTCATTTCATTTGGAAAGTCATGAAGGAATCTTCAAGAAATTAGCCATTGTATTGTTACTGGCCGAGGCAAGAGTCTGTGTTCAAAATAGGAAAGACGAGTCCCATTTCTGCAATCTTTGCTGATTTTAACCCCAGATGATATAAATATATGAACAAATGTAGGAAATATTTACCAAGCCACAGGAAAATGCATAAAATTGTGTTAGTGTATGAGTTAGCTATTGCTACCTAACAAACCATCCTAAATCTCAGTGGCTTAAAACAGCAACCAGTTATTGTTTATTCAAAATCTATGTGTCTTCTGAGTGTTAATTGATCTAGGCCCATGGTTGGCAAACTGCAGCTCACAAGCCACATGCTGCTCTTTGGCCCCTTGAGTGCGGCTCTTCCTAAGCCTTAGGAGTACCCTAATTAAGTTAATAACAATGTACCTACCTATGTAATTTAAGTTTAAAAAATTTGGCTTTCAAAAGAAATTTCAGTCATTGTACTGTTGATATTTAGCTCTGTTGACGAATGAGTTTGCCGGCCACTGATCTAGGCCATACTCAGCTGGATAGTTCCCCTCCACATGTCCCTCATCCTTTTCATGGGACAAAGGTCCACCCCAGACATGCTTGTTTTTTTTGCCTTAGGAGTACCCTAATTAAGTTAATAACAATGTACCTACCTATGTAATTTAAGTTTAAAAAATTTGGCTTTCAAAAGAAATTTCAGTCATTGTACTGTTGATATTTAGTTCTGTTGACGAATGAGTTTGCCGGCCACT